ACAGTGTGTCTAAAAAAATACAACATTGATTTGATTTCATGCACTGGAATGTGTCCCAGAGATGGAAGGTGAATTTGCCAATAGAAAAGTCCTCAGTGTTTAACATTTGCAGCTAATGATTCAAATGCCTTTAATTACTGGGAAAGATAACGTAAAACATGCATGGATATATTAATTGAATGTGCATCTTCAGGCTTGTGTTTTCATCCACCACAAAAGTGCTACAATATACCTTTACCACACTTAACATACATAAACGATTAAGTTCTTTCTAAGCCAATAGACATGTCCAAATAATTAAATCATAAAATTGATTTGGATTACCTATTGATCTACCTAGAATCACCAAATTAATTGGCATCGATTCAACAAAATTCAGATATCTAAATTAGGCCAATTTAGATGTTCAAATCTATGGGTGAATGATCATGACATCTCCGAACCAAATAAATCTGGCAATCTCTGATATAGCTTGACCATTGTAAACAATTACTTTGGTCCTAACGTGATGACTTCAATCATCTCTGAACTGGATATTCACAATCATTTTTCTAGGTCTGTAATGGCCCTCTCTGTGGGCATGCGAGCCGTCGACCCAGCTCAGCTCCACTGTACATGTACAGGTGCCTCCCGCCAGCCATCTGATTTTCGGGTCACTGCCGCGCATGTGGGGCGGGTCACATGGAGGAGACGCGTGCACATGTGCAGGAGGTTACATGTCACACAGATGGGGAAACATGAGGGTGGCATATCCCACTGCAGCACATTTTTGGTCTCAGGAGGCTGCAGGAAGGAGGCCTAGGGCGAAGGGGTGTTGTGCGTGCATGCGCAGGGGTGTTGTGCATGCATGCCCATTCCAAAAATATCCTATGTAGTTTCATTTTTGACTACATTTTTGCGCATGCCACCCACACGAGCAAAGCACATGTATGGAAGGCCACATGCATGCGCAGGGAGGCACACAGGCACAACACAAGCATGCACACGCAAGCATGCTCATAAGCATGCTAGCTGGTGGAAAACCTAAGTGAATCCCACCGCTGTCTAGACTGCAAAAATCCTTAAGAAAATTAATGGAACCAAAGATTCAGAACATTTGGTAGTTCTTTGATATCATCTTCTCAACAAAGTTAGACATCTGGATGCTTATAATTCAAACATGACATTACTTTAGGTAATTCGCTATCTTTTAGCTTATCCAACCTCATAGAGTTAAATAATTCGTTCTTTCTTTTTTTTAAAAGAGAAAGAATCAACTATGCCATCAAGAAGCAGATATATTAAGACAACTGTAGTGCTGAAGCTGTTATAAATCTGAACAATGTTGTCCAAGAGAAAAACCACATAGCTAACACAATGTACTGAACTCTCAACATATCATAGCATACCGCTGGATGAAAATTGGGTAGCTATGAGTCCTTTTTTTCACTCTACACTCCAAACGAATCCCTGTTTAGAAAGATGGCAATGTAATCACCTCCGTGTTGGGATGGGAAGTCGGATAAAAGCTTTGTATCGAAGGAGTTCTCTATGCAGCTCCTGAAAATGCTTGTACTTTCTTTTCACTTGCCATGTAAACTCCCCATGGGTCAGCTCAATGGTGTAAACACGTGGACTTGGCACCTTCAAAAAGGAAAACAAACATTAAAGGCTCAAATGAAGATTATTTAGTCATTTCCTTCTTTTAGCAGCTTTAAACGTAAGCGCATTTTACAAAGAGCCCATTAGTGACCTTCTAGTAGGGTTAGAGCAGGGGTGTCAAACACAAAGCCCGGGGGCTGGATTTGGCCTGCAATGTGGTTGGATCCGGCCCATGGAGCCGTCCATCTGGGAAAATATAAGGGGCTGCGAAGAGGAAACATTGGACCAGCGTGGCTTCAGCCCGGTCTACCCAGTGTGAAGAGGAAACATGTCAGCAGTTTGGGGAGTGGCATCAAGCTGGCCACGCCCACCCAGTCATCCATGGCCACCCAGTCGTCCATGGCTGACCGCCCCCCCCTCCCAAGGTCAACCACAGCCCTGATGCAGTCATCAATGAAATTGAGTTTGAGACTCCTGGGTTAGAGTATTAATCTCATACAAGTAGTTCTTGATTTACGACCACAACTGAGCTCAAAGTTTCTGTTGCTAAGCAAGACAGTTAAGTGAGTTTTATTCAGTTTTATGGCCTTTCTTGCCACAATTAAGTTAGCAACACAGTTATTAAGTGAATCTGGCTTCTCACTGACTTGGATAGTGAAACCAGTGGCATATAAATTTAATTTAAAAAAATCTTCCTCCTTTCCTTTTTCCCTCTGTCACATTTGGGGAAAATTTATCTCGGTTAAAGATTAAGAATAGTTTTTCTTTTTCCTATTTTTTCTTTTTTCCTAATTACCTGCATAGGGATTATTCTTTATACTATTTATGTTGTTTGCATTTTTTGTCATGGATTGCACCAATGAGGCTAAAACAAATTTCATTGTCTATATCAGTGTTGGTGAAACCTTTCGGCACCGAGTGCCAAAATGGGAGTGTGCGCACAAGGTTGAGCGCCAGAAACCGGAAGAGCATTTCCTGGGTGTGCATGTGCAAGCTGGGAAACTGAGTTTTCAGCATGTGCACCGGTCATCTGGTTTCTGGCACGCATGCATGTGTTAAGACAAGCTGGCAGGTGCGCATGCAGAAGCTCAGATTTCCTGCATGCACATGCGTGCCAAAGAGCCCCCTGGACAACCCCCTACCTCCGGCCAGGCAAAGTGCCGCTCACCAACCTAGGGGTATCCCGAAGGTGCCAAGCTGCGGGAACCAGGGGGGAGGTAAAGGTGATCGCATTGCTTGGAACCTTCGGGATACTGCTAGGTTGGTGAGCGGCTCTGTGCCCAGCTGAAGAGAAGGGTTGCCGGGCGGCTGCTCTCTTGCGAGCTGGCTCCCAAAGAGACGGCCACAGCCTCATGGCCGAATGGCTGTATTGCACTGTCGCAGCAGCGCAACACAACAGCCATGAAGTGACCACACTCATGAGCAGCCACCTGGCAAATCCCATTTCCAGCCGGGCACAGCGCCATTCACTGACCTACGGGTAACACCAAGCCGTGTGAGCGCCTGTTTGCCACCACCCGGCTCCCGCGACTTGGCGCCTTCGAAATGCCAGCGAATGGCGCTCTGCATGGCTGGAGAGGGGGGTTGCGTGAGCGGCTGTTCCGCTCTTGCTCACACGCCTCCCAGCCTCACGATGCCCCGGCCCAGCTCTCCCCGCAGACCCAGGGCATCTCCGCTGCCGCTGCATGGTTTTTTCAGCAGCTTCCAGACCAACTCTATGGTTGTAGGCCAGTGCCCGAATGGAAAGGGGGTTTGCCGGGTGGCTGCTCGTGAGCATGATCGCTTCATGGCTGCTGTGTTGCGCTGCTGCCCATTTGCCCATGAGGCTGTGCCCAGCTCTTCGGAAGAGAGCAACCACCTGGCAACCCCAAAACAATCAACCCTCCCCTCATAATAAGGCCCAAACCATATATTGTGGGTAAAAAGAAAATAAGACCCTGTCTTATTTTAGGGGAAACACAGTACTATACTATACTAAGATCCCACAGTGGAGATTCCAGTGGAAATCATCAGATGTACCAACTTCTAAAAATGGCACACAGAAACCTTCCTGAGCAGCCACTGCTATGAATCAGATTAAAAAGCATTTCAATATGATATTCGATGCTTAAAAAAAAAAGAAGTTAGCCTTTGTATTTACAAAATAAATAAATAACTCCACCCACTAGGCCTCCTGCAGCCTTGCCAAACATGAAAGTATGATTGAGAGTTCAGAGAGAGCTGGGTCTGACCTTGGTTGTTGACGTAAAACGCTCCACTTCTAGAACACGTACTCGGATGGGACACCCGCTTAGGTAGAGCTGCACTTGAGGCTCTTTAAATCCTTTAGTGTTATAAATGGCTGAGAATGGAATGCCCACTGCAAATAATGAAATGGCCGGGTATCAGTTCTTTACATGGGTTTTAAAGTGCACGTTTAACAGGTTACAGCAAAAGCAGTTAAATGACAGGTCGATACAGAAGGGCAGCACAATGTGAATTCCTTCACATGGGGTGTAGCAGCTCCCTTCAAACAGATCAAAGCTCTGGATTACTTTGTATTAGTCACTTCCCCTTTAGATAGGAAACCTGGTGAATTCGAATGATATATAAAAGAAAAAAAACGTAATACAAGTTTCACAACAAAAACTTAAATGAATGAATAGTATGAATGGATATGTGAGGGATTGAATCTGGGTTTTTCTACAGCAAAACATTATTCTTAGACTTAGAATAACTTTACTGTCACTTTGACTTTGTACAGCATACATTAAAATGAAATTTCATTGCATACAGCTCTCCAAGGGTCCCGACCTCCAATAGAACACTAGATAAAACACAACAAAATAAATAAAAAATTATGCATATACCCACATATGTTAGATGACCCGGAGAAACAACACAGTTCGCACTCTGGATCAAATCAGATAGTAACTTATAGTTTGCCTAACCAGACTTTGTTGAATAAAACATAGTTGATGTCGCTATCAATTTTTGGTGACACCTCTCTTCAAAACTGATAGAGTTCAAATATGTGTGTGTGTGTGTGTGTGTGTGTGTGTGTGTATGTATATCATCCATCCATCCCTCTCTCCCTCCGTCCATCCATCCATCCATCCATCC